ACATTTCAGCTGTGCCACCAACTAACTTAGATTCATACTGAGGGGCTGTAGAGAGGTAATTTCTTAACCCACATCAGTGACTGATGACAGAGGAAGGGGTACTGACACTGTCACAGGCCCAGAGAGTTGATATGTGAGGTTCCGGATTATGGCAGAGATAACCTTCAAGATTCCTTTCCCCTGGTGTCTGTACCCTATATAATTCTCTTTCCATTTGGGCATGAGGAAGCACCAGGGGTATGATGGATTTCACTTCTAGGATTAAGTTGTGCAGTATGCAAAGGTGAGGGCCTTTTGTAGATGTAATTGAGCCCCCAAATCAGCCTACTTTGAATTAATTAAACAGAGATTATCTTAAAGATGGCCTTGTTTTACAGGGTCTGGGCACTTCCCAAAGGAAGAGACCCAAAAGATGAAAGGAGGGACTACACATCAGGAACTGCTAGCAGCTTCTTACAGAGAGCAGCCCCCAGTCTCAATCCTACAGCCACAAACTCTGTGGGCAACTGCTATGGTTTGGATAAATGCCCCCCACAAAGGCCTCAACAAAGGCCCCACAAAGGCCCCCACCTGCAGCACTATAGGAGATGATGGAGCCTTTGGGAAGTGGAGCCTAGTGGAAGGATTAGGTCACAAGGGCATGGCTTTGAAGCAGATTTAGGGGCTCGAGGCTCTTCCTCTTTCTCTAACTTCCCGGTCACCATGAGGTGGGCAGATCACTCAACCATGCGGCCCTCACCTTGCCATCTGCCTCTCCACAAACCCAAAGCAACAAGGTCAGTCCATTAGGGGCTGGAATTTCTAAAACTGTGAGCCAAATAAACTCCTCCTCTTTCTTTTTTTTTTTTTTTTTTTTTTTTTTGGTACTGGGGATCGAACTTGGGTCCTTGTGCTTGCAAGGCAGGCGCAGAACCACTGAGCTAAATCCCCGGCCCAGCTCCTCCTCTTTCTAATTTGAGTATCTCAGGTATTTTGTTATGGTAACAGAAAGCCAACTAACACAACAACCACATGAGCTTGAAAGAGAATCCCAATCTCCAGACAGGAATGCAGCCCAGCTGACTTCATGAAATCAGCCTTGTGAGACCCTTTCAGCAGGTAGCATGGCATAAGTAGGTGTTGTTATACTAAGTTTGTGGTAATTTGTTATTCAGAAAGAGAAAATTAACACATGAGGCAATCTTTACTTGAAGTGAGAGGATATCAAACACCAACAGGAGGGGTGATCCAGTTGTAAATTCTGTCCCACTTTAGTAGAGTAGGATGATTTGAGAGGGCAGCAGTCAGTGTGAGGGAGACATAAAGGAAGATTTTAAGTGGGAATTGCTGTAGTTTGAATGTGTCCACCAAATTTAATGTGTTGGCACCATAAGCCCCATATTCTTATGTTAATAATAATTGGAGATGAGGCTCTCAGGTGACTTGGTCATGTGTGCTCAGCCCTCATAAACAGATTAACCTGCTCATGGTTTAATGGATTACTGGATTGTGGAAGGAGTGCCTTTGTTATGAGTTCTCTCTGCCTTTCTTGCTCTATGTCATGGTAGAATGCCATCCACAATGTTACCTTGTGGCAAAAAGACCTACACCAGAAGTGGAGCAGATGTCAGTGCCATGCCCTTGGACTTTCCAACCTCCAGAACTGTGAGCTAAATCAGTGTCTATTCTTTATAAGTTACTTTGTCCAAGATATTTTGTTAAAGCAACAGAAAACTGACTATGACAAGGGTCTAAAGGAGTCCTTGGACTGGAAAGATGTTTGGCCTCTAAAGGAGAAGCTTGATCTCTGACTTCAAACACTGAATGAGCTGTCTTATATAAAGGTTTTGGACAAGCTTGGTTGCCTGGAAGATTCTAACTCCTTGAGATGTCTAGAAATGGAAAGGGCTGCTTTGATCATTCAGACCCCAAACTCTTGCCCCCAAAGTACGTAACCCACAATTAAATTATACTATAAATAAGAGGAGAAATTGGGACAGATAGTGGTTTAAAACTCATAAGAGCTACCAGCAATAGGCAGAGGGCTGAATTTCAAAGGCTCCCCCAGATTCTAAGTTTGGCTCTCACTTCAAAAGGTTGGTATCACTTTAGCCAACAGATGATACAAGTGGAAGGGGACTGAAATGGTACTGGGCCAGGGATAAAGCAATATCTGAATCCTATTCTTCTTGCATGTTTCCCAATGGAAAAGCATAAATCAAGGGAAAGGGAGACTCCAGTACATTTAATGACTGTATCCTATAGAATCATACAAAAGTTTCATGGTGACCTATCACCAAGCATTCCCTTCCATTTTTTTCTCCTTAAATTCTTTAATTGGTACATTTTAGGTATACAATACATTTACATTTATCATTGGGTGCTTGTACCTGTACATGATGTATCTTGGTTCTTATTTTATTCCCCATTACCTGTGTGCCCTTCACCCCCTCCATCCTTCCCTATTTACTTAGACTTCATTTCCTTCTTTTTCTTTTCTCATAATTTTTAATTTCCCCTCTTTCCTTTCCCCTTTCCCTCCAACAACCTTTACCCCTTTGAACCTGTTCCTACTTCAAAGTACCAATTATTCATTATTAATCCTTCTAATCCTTATTTATACTTTCAGTTTCTCACACTAGAGAAACTATTTAGTATTTACACGTGTGTCTTATTTATTTCACTTAAGAGTATGGCCTCAATATGCATCCATTTAGCTATAAATGACTCTAGTTTCTCATTCTTTATGGCTGAGTAGTACTTCATTTTATAGAAAAAAACACATCTTTATCCAGTTTCCAGTTTCCCTTCCATTTTTTACCAAGAGTAGATAAGACCTACATTTATCATTCCACCCTCATAACTCAAACCTGAATCTTGGCCCTTATTACTCCCAATCTGAGGAAAGACTATATGGTATCAGCCAGGAAAAAGTAGAAGACAGCAAACAAGAGCAAAGAAAGGCAGAAATGGAAGCCAGGGGATAGAGGGAGCTAACCTAATTGCCTACTGCAGGTTTCCCTCCACCCAGGGAGAACTAATTTGGACTCTATCATCCTGGGGTCTCCCTTAACTACTCCCCTAGGAGTTCTCCTATCTCTCTGAAGCTTAAATTTCATCTTCCTAGGTTCCCTATCATCTTTTTTGTTAAACTTAGTTGAAGCACATTCTTTAATAATCTTCTGAGAAAAAGTAGGAAAGTCAGTTTTAAACTTCACCTGCTAAACTAGCACTAGTCTTTCTTCCTCTTTGACTACTGTTTGGCTGAATATGGAATTGTATGGTGAAAATATTTTTCTGAAGATAGAAAGCATTACTTCATCATGTGTTAACTTCAGTTTGGTTGCTGATTACCATGTATGGTCTATTTCTTCTCCGTGCTTTGGTGAGATTTTTCTTATTCCTAGAAAGAAAATTCCTTCTTGGTAGGCTCTTTCAATCTGTAAATCACCTCTTTCAGTTCTATACTTTTTCCTATCCTGTCTGTTGGTTTCCTATTCTCTCCTCTACACAAGCTGGCTGGGGCAAACAGAGGGAATGGGAAGGGAGGACATTGTAAGCAGTGGCTTGCCTATTATGTAGCTGTGAATCCTACCCAGAGCACCCAGGGAGGGAGCACTTGCTTCTCCTAACCTGAATTCCAGGGAATCAAGGCATTCTTTTCCAGAGGCATTACCTGAGCAGAAAAAAACACAATAAAAATTAGGCATATTCCCTAATCCTGAGTCTGCCCAAAGCTGGTGTGAGAGCAACAGCTCAGCAGTACTCAGAGCATCCCTCTAGTCACAGAGCTCACCTGAATGATGCAGCTGAATTTACCAGTGAAACTGTTGTTTATTTTAGCAAACTTTTATGCCAGCCTGCCTTATCCCCTCCCTATACAATAGAATTCTACCCTGGATATACTTCATATTGAAGTTCTGTTATAATAATTTCCTCCCCTTCATTTTCTTTCTGGAACTTGAACTAGCTGGATGTCAGACCTCATAGGTTATCTAATCTTATTATCTTTTCTTTCTTATTTCCCATTGGTGTTTTTGTGCTTATGTCTGAAATATGTCTGAAACTTTTATCTCCCAAGCATGTATTTAATCTTTATTTCTGCTGTCATATTTCTAACTTCCAAAAAATTGTTTCTTATTCTATTTTCTTTTTGTGTAGCAGTCTCATCTTGTCTAGTGAAAGCAATATTTTATTTCATTGGAGCTCTAAGTTTTCTGTTTCTCACTTACATCTCTGTACTCTTTGTTTTTCCTGCACTTTAGGTTTGCCTTTGATTTGAATTTTCACTGTTGTTTTCGACTCTTCTCCAAATTGGAAGCATTCTCAGCTGCTCCTAATCTAGCCCAAGGAGCTCAGAAGGGTGAAAGCACAAGATAGAAGGCAAAGCTTAAACCTTGAAGGATGCAAGGATCCTGGAAATTTTTTCTTTACTAAACAGTAAGGAGTTTTGCTTTTATTCAGAGTACCTTTCACAAAACAACTGCTGTAAAAGTGACTGGTCGCTTTGCCCTTCCATACACTACTGCCTAGAACTCTGTCTACATTCTGCCTACACTGTCATAAGAGGCACAAGACCACTGTTGTTTTACATATGCTGTGAAAATAAATGCATTTGCCACAAATTTCCTCCATGGCTGCCCATTTCTATAACACCTATCCCTCCTGCTGTGCTGCTGTTTCATAGCCTTTTGAATCCAGTCCTACTGGGCTGTTTCATACAAGATAAACACAATCAGAATACCTGAGCACCAACCCCCAGACAGCACAGTCTTCCCCTGGATTTTCAAGAGAATGCTCTCTACCAAATAGCAGCAACCTCATTTTCAGAGAGGTAACCTCACATCCAGGATCCCACTGGGATCTGATGCCAGAGCCTGTGCTCACAGTGGACCCTCCCTTAACCCTGTATAATTTATCTTTGTTCTGCCAAGAGGATGTGGTTCCCACAGGAACAGGGCTCCAGCGTTCCATGTGGAACTGCAGGCAGGGTGCACAGCACAGAGGGAAGACCTCAGAAGATGCTGCCTCTCCTGCTTATCTGCTTCCTGCCAGGTGCTGGGGGGAGAACTGTCTCCACTGCTGGTTAGAGTTGCCTGCCCTATTTGACTATGACCTGAAGATTCTCTGGGGCAACCCAGGGCCACCCACAGAACTCTCCCAGAGCCTCCACTCCCTCTTCCAAGAAGACAGCATCTTGCTGGGACCCTTGTACCTTGGTGAGGCACAACCATGAGAAGAGAGATCAGGGCTGGCTCCTCACCTGCCTTGGCCCTTTTCCCCTAACTTCCCCCTTTCCCATATTCCTTCCTCAGATCAGGACCTTGTAGAAGAAGAGGCAGCCCAATTCTTCAACCAAGTAGACCAAGCCATTGGGAAGTTTAGGGATGGTAAGCATCCCCTTTTCCTGGGACCCCAAGGCTTAAGTTGATAGCTTGACCCTCCAACACATTCCCAGAGGGTGGCTTTGGCCACAGGATAAGAAAGAGCCAGTAAAGGGAAGGAGATAGACATAGTCTGTCTCTGTGTGCTGTACAGAATGTCTGCTTAAAAACACTGTTTAAAATCTCAACCATAAGCAAGTCATAAACTGAGCATCTTTGCTTCCTGCTCCACCCAAACAAAACATTGCTTCTGAAAGAGATTCATACTCACAAGGATCTCTTTGCTGAGAGGCTGAACAAAAGAGCTGAGCGGCTGATGGGGCAGGGTAAGAGATAAGGTTGCCCCTACTTCCAGCCTGGCCCTTCATCCCTGCAGAATCTAATCTGCAGCCCCTGATGGACCTTCCCTAGAAGCCTCAGCCTTCCTCTCCTACAGCCTGGGTCCCTGCCACACCCTCCCCAACTCCACATTCTGCTCATATCCCCCAACTCCTCCCATCTCTGTCTGTGTCCCCGACACCTCTGTTTCTTCACCATCTCACCTTTCTCTGCAGTCTGCAATGAGTCCTGTGGTGAGTATGTCCCAGCCCTGGGCCTGAGTGGAAGATGTCAGTCTCTGCCCACTCTGAGGCTTCTGCTTGTCACCCTTGTAGATACTAAATCTAAAATGGAAGTCATAGAATGTGTCAACTGCAGGGCTCTCTTCTTGTCTTGCAATGACCCTGTCCTCTGCCCAGGTCAGTGGCCTCCACCTGTCCAGTCTCCCTCCTCATGCTCCTCCTCCCCAAGGCCATTGCTGTCTCTATTCATCTTTCTTATCTCCCAACCTGGAACTTTTCTTGCTTTTCTTCCTCCTACAGAAGCAAGTAGCACCTGTGGGATTTCTTGATGTACGCATGTCTAGCTGCAGAGCTATGAAGCTATCTGCCCCTAAGTTCTCAGAGTCAGATGCCTGGAAAGTTGCCCAGACCAATCTCTACTTTCCCCAAACCTGCTCTGCCTTCAAAGCCCTACCCAGCACAGGTTCCCACCCATACCCTTCTAAGCCAGGAATCTCTTCTATCTTCTCCCTCTGACTAACCATGTGGAATCACCACATCTTACTAAATAACTCTTAAACAAGCTTCTATACTTTCATTCTAACCTCCACCACTCTTCCTGGGACATCCTTATCTCTCGCCTGAATTATGGCAGCCTTTCCTATCTGGCCTCCCTCCTGTCATGGCTACATCTCACCCCACCACCAGATAAGTCTTTCTCAAGGAGAGCAGTTACTCATGACATTCCCTGTCTATCAACTCCAGTGGCTCCTCCCTCATATAATATCCAGACACCTTGGAGGCCCCATATGAGCAGAAGCTGCTCATGTCCCACCTCCTTGACTCTTAACCATGTCAAGCTCTGGACACTCTGGACAGATGGGCAGCTTCATGCTCCTGCCTGAAAGCATGTCCTCTTCCCAGAGCAGTTTTGCTCATGACCATTAGAACTGAGCCCATATTTGTCTTTCACAATCCAGCCCCAGGCCCTACTTCCTGAGTAATCTTCTCTGGGCAGCTCCTACCCTCAGCTTTGTCACCCTTCTTTACCATATCCTTCTCCACCCCATGCCGTGTTCTATTTCCTGTGGACACCACACTGTAATTATTTATTTGTCCCTTCTGGAGATAGAGACTCATGACTCATAACTCACTCATGTCTTGAGGTGTGCCAGGCACAGAATGTTTGCAAACAAGTGATTGAGTGGATTCATGACAGAAGGAGAGATGTGTGGCCTTCTCTTGAGCCAAGGCAACCCTGCCTTCCTTCACACACCAGGCTCCTCCCTTTCATACCCCCAGCCAGGAACCTTCAGGGGCACTGGTGGGTCATGATGCTCATGAGCCTCTCCATTGTGCTGCCTCTGGCCACAGCTGGCAGTGGGTGAGTGACTGCTCCCAGCCCCAGTGACCCCAAGAAAGACATGACTGTCCCTTGACTGACTCATCTCCACCCTGTTTCCTGGCCCAGATATTACTTTTTCTGGCTCAAGAAGAAGAGGGAGAGAGCAAAGGTACTAGGAAAACAGAACACTGCCAGAACCCAGGGCTGCCTTAGAGAGAAAGCCTGGGTTCCCAGGGAACAGCAGGCCCCAAGGGCCCCAGTTGGGGGTCCTAGGATCTGGCATCTAGAACAGAGTGGGATTGTGACCCAGGGCCAGTGACACAGGCAGCTATAATCCAGACCTCTGGCTTTCACACAAATGCCCCTACTCTCTGTTGTTACCATCCCCTGCCTTTATCTCACTGGCTGCCTGCACAGGTCAGCACTATGGCTGCCTCTGCCTGACTCCCAGATGAGTGTGGCCAGTAGGGACTCCCAGTGGGAGGTCAGAGGAACAGGGTGGGGTGGGGGGGGACCCCTGCTTCTTTTTTCTTCACAGGGACAAGACAACCACTTATCTTCTGGAAATGATCCGAGGGCACTAGAAAGCTAACACATCCCTAGTTTGGAACTTTCCATTCTGTGACCCCCACCATACCATGGCCACAAAGTTCGGAGGCTCAAGAGACTGCACACTTTCATAATTTCCCTCCACATGTGCCTTTGTAACTAGTCCCTTCATTAAAGCATCCTTCTGAATTCTAAGTGATTGTGCTTTCTGCTTCCTGCTCTGACTTGAGCTGAAAAGAGACTTTGGTAACACTGTGTGAGCTGTCCTGTCTCCTCACCTTCCCCTGTGACCTACCACCCTCCTCCTGTCCTGGTCCCCAGAGTGGTAGCTTTTCATGCTCATGCCAGCCTCACCTAATTGCAATACTAGGGACAAGGGTAGAGATGCCCCAAGTGGCTTAAGAGGTCCTCATCTCTGGGCATGGAATAGGAGAGGTGAGGGCCCAGCTGAGGCCCAGTCAAGAGCAGAGACTAGTGGAAGAATATAAGAAACAGGCTCCAAGTCCTGTCATCACCAAGGCCACAAAGTCCTGGTCCAGATGTCCCCAGTCCTTGGTGCTGCTAGCAAATGTTATTCCCCAGCCCTGCCTGTGATGGGAGCTCTGCTCTTTCTCCTTGACCCTCCATGCATTCTTCCTACTCAGAACCCAGGGCTACCAGACCAGAATGACCTTGGTATGTCCCTCTCCTGTCTCCCTACACCTTGGGCCCCTCCAGACCACCTCTCTCCTTCCCTCTGGGCCCCTCATCCTGGTCCCAGCTTTATCCTGAGAGTACCCAAGATCCCTCCTCCAACTTGAAGTCTGTGAAGCCCCTCACAGCTCCAGCAGGTCCTGGACCCAAGTCAGCAGACAGGAGGTGGTCTGAGGTCTAACCTTTGGGTAAGCACTCCATAGCCCGGAACCCCTTTCTGTCTCCAACATAGGGCCCTGGGTTCTCCCATCTAAGCCTCAATTCCTCCATCTGAACATTGGGATGGGAGGCAAGGTGGCACGTTAGCCGCCAAGTGATGTGCCCTGGCCTAGAACCCCCTTGGGTTACACTTGATATCTGATATTTGTTCTTTTGTGTGTTTAAATTCCATCTCATCCCTGACACTCTGTTGGGGTTCCCTGCCCAGTTCCTAAAGCAAGACTTCTGGTCTCTGGGACCCTGCTGGTGCTTCCTCCTCAGAGTTGGTGGCTCAGTGTGGAAGCAGTCTGAATTCAGAGGCACAATCTCATGGTAAGGTCTGCTCCTGGCTCACTGTTCAGGAACTGAAAGAGAGCCAAGGCAAGGCAGAAAGAGTCCACAAATGACAGCCAGGCCAGGGAGTGCCACAGCAAGGGCAGCAGTGAGCTGGTCCCCAACACAGGCATCTGTGTCTCATCCAGCAATCCAAGAAGCTGCTATCATTTGGACCTAAAATGTCCCCAATAGCCATGTCTTAGTTGCCATCTTATGGGTTTTTGGAAGGTGATTGGATCATGATGGTTCTAACTTCATCATTGGATTAATCCATGGATGGATTCATAATTAGATGGCTTTATCAGGAGATGATAGAAACTTAGGAGATGGCATGTAACTGAAGAGAGGAGGTTATGGAGTTGTTACCTTGGGAATTCTATCTTGTTCCCAGTCCCTTCCTTTCTGGCTTTCTCTCTGCTTCCTTACTGCCATGATATGGGCAGCTTTCCTCCACTACCACCCCGCTGCTATGATTTTTCTGCCTCACCACAGATCTAAAAGCAATGGAACTAAGCTGAACATGGTCTGAAATTTCTGAAACAGTGAGCCAAAGTACACCTTTATAATCTTCTGGATTTCAGTGGTGTCTGTTGTGATTTTATCTTTTCACCTCTAATTGCATTGATTTGGGTCTATTCTTTTCTTCTTTTAGTAAGTTAACCTGTAGGCTTTACTATTTTTATTCTTTTCAAAAACCAACTCTTTGATTCATTGATTCTGATCTTTAAAATTTCCTTCCTTGTACTAGCTTTGTTTAGGATTTTTCTTGGTTTGGGGTGTTGTTGGTTTTTTTTAGGAAATTGAGGTGCATTATTAAGTTATTTATTTGAACTCACTCTGTTTTGTTTTTGTTTTTGTTTTTGATGTGGAGATTCACAGCTATGAATTTCTCTTCTAAGACTCTTTTCACTGTGTCCCATAGCTTCTGGTACGTTTGTTTGATTCTAGGAACCATTTAACTTCTTTCTTCATGTCTTCTATGGCTCATTGATTATTCAAGAGTGTGTTGTTTAATCTCCGTGTGTTTGCATAATTTTATGGTTTCATTTACAACTGATTTCTAGTTTCCTTGCACTATGATATAAAAATATGCATGCAATAATTTTAATTCTTTTGTATTTTTTTAAGCAAGCATTATAGCCTAAGATATTCGCTGTTTTGGAGAAAATTTCATGTGTTGCTGAATAGAATGAATATTGTGTTATTGTTAGGTGGGATAATCTGTAGATATATATTAAGTCCATTTTTTTCAAAGGTGTAATCCAACTCTGTTCTTTCGTTGTTGATATTTTTATCTAGTTAATCTATTTGTGATAATGGGGTATCAAGGTCCCAGACTATAATTTGTGCTTATGTTTATCTGATCTTTTATGTCTAGGAGTGTTTGTTTTATGAAGTTGAGTGCACTATTATTTAGTGTATATATACTTACAATTATTATCTCTTCCCATTGAATTATTCCTTTAACCAATATGCAGTGACCTTCTTTGCCTTTTTAATCAATTGGGCTTGAAGTCCACTTTGAAAGTAGGCTAGCTACTCTGGTTGGTCTCAGTGCATAGAATATTTTTTTCTACCCTTTAATTTTTAGTTTATGAATTTCTCTTTGGCTTAAATGTGTTTCTTATATGCAGCATATCATTAGGAGTTTTTTTAAAACCTAGTTATCCAAGCTGTGTCCTTTGACTGGGAGTTGAGGTCATTCACATTGAGAGTTATTAATGGAAGATATTGATTCATTCTTGTCATTGTATTTTTCTTTTGCCAATTCCTTTTTGCTTTACCTTCTGCTTAAGGCTCACCCTGTTTGGTGTGATCATTCCACTAGTTTTTTGTTGTTGTTGTTGTTGTTTGGCATTGTTGGCTTCATTGCTGCTGTGTGAAATATTCTTGAGAAATTTTTGAAGCACTGGTTGTGTAGTAATGAATTTTTTAAGGTGCTCTTTGTCATGGAAAAACCTTATTTCTCCATCAATTTTGAAAGATAATTTTTCAGGACACATTAGTCTCAGTTGAAAGTTGTTTTCTTTTAGAGTTTGAGACATTTCACTCCAAGCTGTCCTTGCCTTTTAGGTTTGTGTTGGGAAGTCTACTGTAATTCTAATGACTTTGTCTTTATAAGTGATTTGTTACTTTTCTTCATGCCCTTGTGTTGGACATCTGAGATTTTTACTATGATGTGTTTTGGGGAAGTTCTTTTCTGCTCATGGCGATTTGGGTTTCCATATG